TATTTATTAAAGTTTCTTTTTTTTTGATTTCAGGAATAACTTCCACTGGACGAAGATTGGTGAGTTTTTTCAAACTAAAACTTTGCTATTTTCGAATTTTCAAAAAAAAAAAATAGTGTTTTTAATGAATAATTACTTGAGGTATGTGCTATTTTTACTCATTAATAAAAAGTTTGGGACTGAGTCTTAAACTCTGCAAGACTGTCATGTCATTGAAAAATATTAAAAGCAACTAATATTATACTATTAAATTGTTTTTCCTTGTCAAATTTAAATATTTATATATATATTAATTATTAGTTTAAATAAAAAAATTGTTCTTAAAAATTTTCATAAAATTCTTTTTCGAAAATTGGTTATCAAATTATTTGGAACAATTCAATTATTTTAAAACTTTTTTGGAAAATTTTTTTCAAAGAATTTAATTATTTTCACAAATAATAAATTTCTTTGCTGCATTTTAAATATTTTTAAAATCTAACATTTTATTAAAATTTCTCAAAAGAATTCAATTATTTAAAAAAATTAAATTTTTCGCAAAAATTCAATTATTTTCAAAGATTTTAATAAAATCCTTTGGAAAAGTTGAATTATTTTTACAAATAACAACATTTTTCACAGGGATTCAATTATTTACAAAAATGTTATAAAATTCGTTGCAAAAATTCAATTATTTACATAAATAATAAAATTCTTCTCATGATTTCAATTATTTTTGATACTTTGAAAGAATTCTTCGAAAGAATTGAATTATTTTCAAAAATTTTATTAAAATTCTCTAAAATTCAATTATTTTCACAAATTTTAATAAAGTTGTTAGCAAAATTTCAATTATTCAGAAAAATTTTTCTCAGTTTAGTGATTTTCAATATCTACTGTTTTAATAAAATTTTCAAAAAGAATTGAATTATTTATAAAAAATGTAAATAAAATTCTACGCAAACATTTAATTATTTTCATAAATAATACCTAATATCACAGGAATTCAATTATTTACAAATTTTTCATAAATTTCTTCCCAATAATTCAATTATATTCATAAGTAATAAAATTTTTTACAGGGATTTAATTATTTTTCTAAATAATAAAATTCTTCTTCAAAATTCAATTATTTTTATAAATAATAAAAATCATCAAAAAATTTCAATTATTTTTAATACAATTTTTATTGAATTATTTGAAATAATTGAATTATTCTTTTAAATCTTCATAGAATGATTCAAAAAAATTCTATTACTTACAAAATTTTTAATAAAATCCTTCGTAAGAATTCAATAAAAAATAAATAAAAATAAATTCAATAAAATAAAAGTTCTTCGCAGAATTTTAATTATGTTCAAAAATTAAAAAAAAAATTCTTTTCAAAATTTAAATTATCTTTATAAATAATTATATTCTTCACCGAAATTCAATTATTTTTATAGACTTGAATAAAATTCGTTGCAACGAATTCAATTATTTATGTAAATAATAAAATTCATTGCAAAGAATTCAATTATTTATATAAATAATAAAATTCTTCACACAACTTCAGTTATTTTTCTAAACTTGAATAAAAATTCGTTGGAAGAATTAAATTATTTTCAAATGTAATAAAATCCTTCGCAGAAATTCAATTATGTTCAAAAATTAAAAAAAAAAATTCTTGTCAAAATTTCAAGTATCTTTATAAATAATAAAATTCTTCTCTTCAATTCAATTATTTTAGAAAAATTATTTTCATTCTACTCGAATTTTCTAATAAAAATTGATTTTAAAATGAATTTCCGAATAATCGATTTATTATTTATGAAAATAATTGAATTCTTGCAAAAGAAATTTATTACATTTTCTTTTAAATAATTGAATTTTTTTAAGAAATTTTACTACTTGTAAAAATAATTGAATTCTTGCGAAGGATTTTATTAGGATTTGTGTAAATAATTAACTTTTTTTTTGAAAAATTTTATGGTAATTGAAATTATTACAAAACATTCTTCATGTTTTTTAGTAATATTCTTATAAATTGTTGAATTTCAAATCAGTTTGAATTTGAATGTTTTGAAGAATTTTAATTTCTACGGAAAAATAATAATTATTAAATGTTTATTTAAAAAAGAAGTTTAATAGAATGAATAAAATTATTTAAATTTATTCATTTAAGAAAGGTTTTTGAATAATTTTACTTTTGAAGAAATTTGTAAATAAATGTAATAGATCATTTTTTTGAGTATCTAATAATTTTTAGAGTGAATCGCAGAATATTCTTTAGAGTCACTCTCTAAATTTGAATTCGTAAAAATATTTACTAATTTGAATTAGTGACTGACTTGTTGCTTTTGAATTAGTAAATTTTACTAAAAAAATATTAGTGGAAAGTACTATTTATTAGTAAAATGAATTGAATTTACTAATTCAAAAGTAAAATGTCAGTCACTAATTAAAATTAGTTATTTTCAACTTAATTGAAATTAAGAGCAAGTATTTGACTCAAACAAAATTTTTTCCCGAGTGTTTAAATGAATAATTTTAAAAGTCCACTTTAAATTTACTATATTTGATTAATTAAAAAAAGAAAATTCAGATCTACTTGTACCGAGCCTACGATTTAAAATGCTCTATTAAAAATGTAGAATGGATAATAGAATACAAACACGGGAAAAGAGGATTGCTGACAATTCAGATAAAGTAGAAAGAGACGGAGATTTGGTTCCATTGTGTTTTAGGATGACAATCAGTAGTATGGCGTTTGATCGAATCAATCGATTCGTTTCTATAGGTCTTCTAAAATGCGTTCAGCAGTCAAGGAAAAAAAAGAGAGAAAGGAGTGAGAGAGAGAGAGACAGAAAAAAATAGAGGGTGTGAGAATGAGAGAGAAATAGTGGATAGGAAAGAGAGAGTATACGTTTGGATGATCTCTAGAGAATACTCGACGTGCATAGAGAGCGAAACATTGCCCGGATAAAGCGGCTCATTTAAATCGAACGCCGGGTAATGTCCCACGAGATTCGCGAAATATCCGGAAATATCTCTCGCGTGTCGTGAAATCCGTGTAATTTTTTTTCCTCCCGTATGTGGGCTGAAATCGTGTATATACATTTTTTTTTCTTTTTTGCCTCTTTTATATTTGGAATATAAAAAGAAAATCAAACTCAGCGGAATTCTTATTCGTAACAAATGAATAATGTAGGGGAGTGAAGAAATCTTGAGGGGCACGTGTGAAGAAATCAATCTTCACATCGAATTTTAAGTTTTGATTTGAATTTTGATATTATTTATATAGGGTTAGAAGCACCAAGGTGCCCACCACAATAAACATAGGTTAAATTGTTGGTACATCGTGAATAAACAAGAATAATTAGAGAGATGTAAATTTTTTTCTTTTGAAACATTTGTTCGAAATGCTGTAATAAAGGATTTGATTAATTTTGGGTTGAAGTTTGCAAGGAAAGTGAGAGGAGAATGGTGTTAATTGTATTTCGTGACGTGAAATTTGATACTTTGGAGAGAGAGAGAGAGATGAAAATTTAGTTTAAAACTTGGGGAATCTTGAGAAATTTCAAAGTAACATGGCAGCTAACATAAATGAAAGACCCATATTCTAAAAGAGGTTCTCTTCAAGAAAGTTATATGTGTAGGTTCTTTGGTTACGGAAAGTCATAGGAAACTGATGTTGAAGTCGCAAGTAGAGTCAACATCTCTGCCTGAGGGATAGTCGGTCGATGCGGTGTGGAGGTTGAGTTTAGAGGTCGAGAAATTAGTTTAGTTATGCACCCGGCAGGGACGTTTTCCCGTTCAGTTCATGGTGCATATAAATGTAACTTGTCGAAGGGGCACGTTCACATTTCGTTTCAAACATTCAATATCCATTTCATTCACTTTTTCACCTTTCATTTTTTAACTTCAGCTTCTTTTTTTTTTTGACAAATAGAGTCGCGCATTCAATCAATCTCCATGTTTCAATTTATTTTATTTAATTAAATGAAAACGGCTTTTTGACTATGGATTTTGTTTTTTATTAATAATGTTCGTGATTTGAAAATAACGTTCTTTTTCGAAATTGTACCTAATGACGAGAGAATTTAGAGTTACTGTTTATGAAAACATAAAAGTGTTAATTATTTTTAATACTATTCTAAATTAATTAATCGAAAAATTCAATTATTTTCACAAATAACAAAATTTTGCACTAGATACTAGAACATTTTGAATGATTTTATTATTTTATTTTTATTATAAAGTTATAAACCGTATAATGTAATGAGTCTGATTGAATTTTAAGAAGAAAGTGAAGAAAATTCTATTGAATTAGAAGAGTGAATTAATTTTTCGTGGCAGTTTCACTATTGACCACGTTTACTCGAGACAATATTTGCACTTAATCGTGAATCAACAGAGTCTCCCTGACGATAAACGGGGTGTATGCACTGCTCAGCTAATTACAACAAGGAGGTGGATGTGGATCGATAGACTCTGGATTATGCATCGACTTGAAATGGCCATGTTGTGGGTGAAGAGAAACCTCTAGTCAAATAGACAATAGCCAACACGACACACACACACACACACATTTTGCTTCACTTAATCCATATGAATTTTTTATTCATTCATCCACAATTGCAATCAGAAGATGACCCAAATTATTTCACACTAATCTCTCTCTAAATCTCAATCAGTGGAATTTCCATATTCCAATCTAAAATTCCATCACACTGAAAATCAAAGAATCAAGGGGAAAATAATTATTTTTTTCTTTGTCATTTCTTTCTGATAAATTTAAAAATATATGAAAAATATTTTTTTTAACCATAAGATTTGGATGAATTAAAATCTATAAATAATCTGTTGGTCAACAAATACAAAACATGAAAGTGTAGGGTAGAGGGCCCTAAGGTTTAACAAAGACAGCGTTAAATTTCGGTGAAAAATTTTTTGAAAGCATTGTTTAGTGAGTTTAGAAAAAATATGAAAAGTTATTTTAAATACGAAAAGTTAGTTCAATCAGTCTATTGAAAACTCACCTGTGAGTCTTCCTCGGTGAAAATAGCGTCGAACGCAAACATTTTCGGTGCCGCGACAGTGGGTCTGCGATCTTCGGCTGTCGAAGATTGGGCCGAGGCTGGATCGATCAAGGTCACTTGTTTTTTCCTTTTATCGGCATTGAAAAAACTTCCTCCTTCTCCAGGTGAAACTCTCAGCATCACTTTCACCTGAAAAATGAAAAATATATTTGTTCTTTAAAAAATATTAGATTTTATCACTCGGTTGTTTTAAATATTTAATAAAACATTGAATTTAACGATAATTCCGAGTTGCTGACTCGGAATGATCGTTAAATTCAATGTTTTATCAAATATTTGATTTTTATTGTTTTGTTTATTGATTTTGTTTTCTTTTTATTGATTTTTGGATATGGCATTTGTCTTCAATTAACGGTGTATAGTTAAAATTTGAGGATTAGTACCGATCTTGTATTAGACAGTAGGAATGGTTAACGATTTCGGTATAAAATTAGACTAAACTGCATTTAAACGATCGAACTATATGGAGAACAATATTACCCGAGGGGATATCAATTCTGTACTTCCCAGTAGCCAATCAGTTTATAAACTCTACAAAAGCGTGTTCATTCATCTGGAGTTTATTGCTCGTAAATGCACCATTACGCTGTATAGAAAGTGTAAAAAAAAATATATTTCCTAACTTTTCTTCTATATACAAAGGGTAAACATTGTCTGGATTATACAAACCCCAATTTTTAGCGAATTAAGTATCGAATCTGTTGGATTTTTTTTTATGGGAATTACGTTTTTATTCCTCTGTGTTTTTCGCGCTTTCCCCTTTTTTTCCTTCATTCTTTATTCTTTTTATTGTTTTCTTTTTTTTTGAAAATATTAAAAAAGAATAAAAAATAAGCTTTTTCTTTTGCTACCAGTAAATCCCGTAAAGATCCGTAAATTTGATTAAAGTTTGTAAAAGTCAGTTTTTTTGAAAAAACGTCCATCAAGTCGGTAATTTGTTTGAAAGAAGTACGAAAAGTTCGTAAATTGTACGATATAATTTGGGGAATTTTTGAAAAGTTACAAATGATTGAAGAAATTCAATTATTTTCAAAAAGTAAAAAAATTCTTCGCAGAAATTCAATTATATTCAAAAATTTTTTTTAAATTCTGGTCAAAATTTCAATTATATTTATAAATAATAAAAATCTTCTACAAAATTCAATTATTTAAAAAATTTGAATAAAATTTTACTAAAGAATTCAATTACTTAAACAAAATTTTAATAAAATTCTACGGAAACATTTAATTATTCTAATAAATAATAAAAATTTCACAGAAATTCATTTATTTAAAAAATTTGAATAAAATTTTACTAAAGAACTCAATTACATAAACAAAATTTTAATAAAATTCTACGCAAACATTTAATTATTCTCATAAATAATAAAAATTTCACAGAAATTCAATTATTTATAAATTTTTTATAAATTTTTTCGCAAATAATTCCATTGTTCTCAAAAATAATAAAAGACTTTTTAGAAATTGAATTATTTTCATGTTTAATAAAACTCATTAAGAAACATTCAATTATTCAATAATTTTTTTTTTATTTTAAATAATTGAATTATCTACAAAATTAAATTATTTTCAAAACTTTTAATATAATTCTTGGCAAAAATTCAATAATTTTCAAAAATCTTCCAAAAAAATTCAATTATTTAAGAAAATTTTTAATAAAATTCTACTCAAACATTTAATTAATTTTATATAAATAATGTAAATTTTACAGGAATTCAATTATTTACAAATCTCTTCACAATTATTCAATTATGTTCAAAATTTTTTTCAAATTTTGGTCAAAAATTCAATTATCTTGATAAATAATAAAATTCTTCTCCGAAATTAAATTATTTTCAAAAATTTTCCCCAATTCAATGATTTTCAATATCTAGTATTTTAATAAAATTTTCTAAAAGAATTCAGTTAAAAAAAAAAAATATTTATTAAAACTTTACGCAAACATTTAATTATTTTTATTTTTATAAATAATAAAAATTCAATTATTTATAAAAATGTTTAAGTAATTCTGCAAAATAATTTAATTATCTTGATAATCAACAAAATTCTTCCCGTAAAATCAATTATTTTAATAAATTTAATTGAATTTTTGAAAAGAATTTTTTTTTTCCAAAATTTAATTATTTTTATAATTATCAAAATTTATCGCAAGAATTCAATTCTTTTGAAAAATAATAAAATACTTTGCAGAAATAAAATTGCTTTTAAATTTTTTTTAAAAATTCTCGTCAAGAATTAAATTATTGTCAAAAATTTTAATAAAATTCTTGACAAAATTTCAATTATTTAAACAATAATTGATTAAATTATTATTAATTATTTATTAATAATTATTTAATTAATAATTATTAATAATGAATAATAATAATTAATAATTATTATAAATTATTAATTATTTATTAATTATTATTGATTAAATTTAAACATAATTTAATAAAATTCTTCGCAAGAATTTTATTACGTACATAAATTATTATTTAAATTATTTTCAGAAATTCAATTATTTTTATGAATTTTAATAAAATTCTTAAAAGAAATTAAGTATTTTCGAAAGTTGTTAATAAAATTCTTTGTAAAAATTGAATTTTAAGAAATATTCAATTATTCAATAAATTATTTAGTTTGGTATTCAAATAATTGAATTGTGTAAAGGTTTCAAATTAAAATCTTTGGTCCATAATGTCCGTATTTTTAAATACTTTCACTGTTTTGAGTTCTGGAATTAACTAGGTTATTAGATACACTGAAAAAATAATTTATTTTATTCAAATAACCGATTAATTGACTATTATCAATTAAATATTTAATTGAATCAATTAATATTTATTGGAGTCAATTAAATGGTTCAATTCATATTTGCTTCAAATACTGAAATTATTGGTTTAAATACCATTTAATTCACTCTAATAAATATTATTTGATTTAAGTAAATATTAAATTGATAATAGTCCATCGGTTATTTGAATTAAATAATTTTTTCAGTTTAAGACTAAATGATTTTACCCCAAATGACCCTAATTTTAGTATTTTTTGAGAAAAATATACTTTTATTCAACTCTCGAATAAATGAACTTTTTCTCTTGGTGCGTAATTTACAGAAAAAACGTGTAGAAAAGAATGGTGATTATTAGTCGGAATGAAGATTGGGTTAAATGGAAAAGAGTCTTAGTCATTGAGATGCCATTTAGAGCAGATGAGGGTCTCATTTTAGAAGTCACAATTGGAACCGAGGCTTATAGGAGTTTCGCATTAAGTCATACTCCATTAACAACGGGCCCTCGACGTCACCTCTTCTCCCGAGTTGAGCGTAATTTGGTAATACGTATCCATTTAGATAGAAGCATGCCGAGAGATCGATAACACCACCAGACACTCGAGTATAGAAGGCTAATTAAGATAGTGTGTTTCAGGAACGATTGTTCACCAGCCACCAATGTCGCATTAATGGATACTCTCTTTCTCCAATCAGAAACTATTCAAAAATTTATTATTTTATGAAAAAAAATTCCCTTAGAAAGTAGGAATTCTTGATTTTCTTATTTTTATCACATCAGAGGGTATTATTTTATTTCTAGGAAAAAAAAAAAATGGTTCTGAAATTGATTTTTCATTCGATGGTCTCTGTTGTCCAGGAAATTGAGTTTGTCGATCTCCACTGAGATTGCAGTGCATCCTTCGTCTTTTGCATATATACAAACGTTTCGTACATCTTTGTTGTCATGGTTTGATATTTCCTTTCTAGAAATAGAATATCACAAGAAGAATATCACAAAAGTGAGAATGAGAAATCAAACCTGTCGATCTAGTTCAAGAGGAAATAGACTCGCGACATAGAAAAATGGACAAATTTTTATTATCATTTTTAAATTTTTTGGTGATTTTTTTTTTTCAACCGATGTTTCAACTTCCATTCTATTCTTTATGAAGAAAATCGTTAATTTTCATATAAAATTCAATCTCTCTACTTTTATAAAACTTTATTTGAAACTGTCAGTTAAAATTTTGCTTCTATATAAAGCTTTGAATTATGAAAGTAAATTTTGCTTAAATATGCAAGCGGAGAAAAAAGGAAAAATCGATTTGAAGAAGAAAAAAAAGTACAGTATGGAAGAATTGAATTTTTCATCTTGGCCGGTTGCTTTTCTGTTTATCTATTTTTAAAGGTACGTTGGGCCAAAGAACTCTCTCTCTCACAACAAGATGATCCATTTTGTTTCATCCAATAGTGGAAAAGTCAGTGGATCAGACATGATCATAAATAGAAATATAATACCATCAACTGACAAGAATGATAAAACATTGATGTAGCATAGTGTCTGTCAAAAAGAGAGAGAGAGATAGAGAGAAAATAGCGATGGCAAAATCTCTCACCTATACGTACACCATACTCTTACCTCATGAAATGTAATTTCTATTTTGAATCCCCGCGCGCACAGTGAGGTTATTGACCGTGTGCACAGTTGTCGCGTCATTGTTCCGCGAATTGTCGCATCGCTTTGCAATTCACGATCGAATTAGAATCTCCAAGTTGGGCATTTCCAAACGCTGTTCAATTTGTGGTCTTGTATGAATTCGTGACACGATCCGCGATAATTTTGTCCACTAATGAATTCCTGCTTAGAGTTCATCCTCTACAGTGGTGGACCGCTTGGCTTGTGATATTAATTTTCACAAGAGGATTCGCACTGTCAATTAACTTTTTTCAAAGAATATCTAATATCCTTTCTTTTTGCCTTCTCAATTTTTTTTCTTTACCTTTTTCCCCCCTCGGCCTCTCTCTTTCTTTCGAGGCTAATTTTTCCCTTTCTTTCCAATAAAATTAATGTTTTCCCTGTGCTATTCTGTAATTTAATTTCACTTCACTTTCACTCCACTTCCACTCCACTTTCACTTCACTTCCACTTCATTTTCACTTCACTTTCACTTCACTTTCACTTCACTTTCACTTCACTTTCACTTCACTTTCACTTCACTTTCAAAAATAATTGAATTTTGTAAACGTTTCAAATTGAAATATTTGGACAATATTTCGAAAGAATTCAATTATCTCGATAAATATATAAGAGTTCCTGCAACGAATTTTATTATTCATGCGAAAGAATTTAAATGTTTATGAAAATAATTAAATT